TTCAACAGCGGAATGGCGTTGCTCAGATGGAGACAGTGTTCTGGAGAAAAAGGCCACTGGTCTTCCGTTTTGATTTAGGGTGGCTGCGATTGCCACATCAGACGCATCTGTCTCGACTACCAACGGTTGTGTGTAGTCGATAGAAACAACCAGGGCGTTAGCCAGTTCCGATTTCAGTACATGAAACGCCGTTTTCACCGATTCAGGTAGAGGAAATATTTGGTTGTGCACGAGTGGATAAATTTTATCAGAAAAATGTGATATCCAGTGCGAATAGTATGAAAACAACCCGATCGCTCGCTGTTGGGATTTTTGGTTACTGGGTAGCGGAAGATTGCGGAGTGGTTGCAATCTATCGGGGTCTGGTTTGATAGTACCTTTAGATACTTCATAACCTAACAACCGTACAGTTCTTGTACAGATTGTACTCTTTGCTTCATTGAAAATGAGTCCGAAACGCCGCGCCACTTCTTTGAACTTGGCTAAATTAGCATCATGTTCTTCCATAGACTTACCACATATAGTGACATTGTCTATATATGCAAAAGTGTCAGCCAGTTTCTCTTTGGCAATGATTTCATTAATTGTGCGTTGGAAACAAGCAACGCCGTTCGTCACACCGAAGGGTATCCGACAAAATTGGTACAAATTGCCATCAGCCTCGAAAGCAGTATATTTACGTTCGTCGGCGCGGATAGGAATTTGATGATAGGCACTGCGTAGGTCGAGTGTGCTGTATAATTCATAACAAGCGATCTTTTCTATCATTTCATCGATGCGTGGGAGTGGATACGCGTCCAGATACGTATAACGGTTAATTGTTTGACTATAATCAATCACCATTCGTTTCTTGTGACGCTCGTTGGTTGTGACCAAGACTTGAGCGCGCCATGGTGACGTTGATGGCTCTATAACTCCATCACGCAACAGGGTATTTATTTCCTTGCGAATAAAAAGTTGATCAGGAAAAGACTGACGTCTGGTTTTTGTCGCGACAGGTTTACACATTGGTGATAGATTCTGGAACAAAGTCGGTTCAGGAACCTTAGCAGCTGTCAAATTGCAAAGGGAAACAGGTGGTCGGGAACCGCCGAATGGTATTTCTAATCCCTCGTGCAGGTTGAGGAAGTCGTGACCGAGCAACACATCAGCACATAGATGCGGCAGAACGGATAGCCTGACATTTTTGTAATCGAAGTCTTTTAGCTGTAGGTGCACCAGACAATGTCCAAGGGTATCACTCACAAAAGATGTGTTAGCCATAGAGATTTTGCTTCTTGATTCAAGTACTCGCCAGCTATACTTATTGACGACTGATGCTGAGATATAACTCTCAGAACTACCAGTATCGACTAGGGCTTGGAGACGGACACCGTTAACATGAACATGGCTAATCGCTCGTTGTAGGCATACGGGAGCAGACGCAACAGTAAGCGCCGACAACAAAGATTGAGTAGTCGCCGTCTGTGGCTTGATTTTCTGTTTGGAACGACAAACTGACTGAAAGTGACCCTTTTTACCACACAGCTTGCATATGGCATCTCTGGCGGGACAGGCTGTTCGCGGATGTCGGCTATAGCCACAAAAGAAACATTTATTAGTTACCGCAGAAACCAGGATTGTATCTTCTGACTGGGCTGTATCTTGAATTAAGCCACTTTGTGGAGCAGCGTTGCAAGGGTTGGATGAGATGGGTACTTGATACGACAATGCCTGTTTGTATGCCGATTCTAATGCTTTAGATTTTTCTACGGTTTCACGTAGCGTCAACGTATGGTGCTCCAACAACCTCTGGCGGATTTGAGTAGACTGAATGCCCGATATAAATGCGTCCCTGATAGCTTCGTCACGACGTACATCGCCTATCACACTTTGATAATTACAATCAACAGCTAACGTCCGTAACTTTTGCACATACTGATCGAGTGTTTGCTCATTGTCTTGTTTGCATGTGTGAAGAACGTGTCGAGCGAAAATTTCGCTTTTGGTGGGGGCATAGATTGAACAAAGAGTATCGACAGCTTCTTTGAAAGTGGTGCACTCAGAAACGGATTTATAGACAGAAGGAGAAAGATAATTGATCAAAAGTTCCAGTTTGTCCGGATTATGCGTCTCAATACAAGATAAAAAATGGGAGAATGTACGATACCAGTGAGTCCATTGGTCGGTTGCATCAGGAGCGTATGGATCCGCGTCAAATCTGGCTGGTTGAGCAAAGCGTTCCATGGATGAGAAATAATATGTTGAATAAATTGTAGTGGGAGTCGATGACTTAGTTAATCGATTATTGATCCGTTGAGTAGAATGAGAAGACTTCGCCTAAGGATAGGCTTTATTCAACATATAAGCACAGTATAGGCTGAAATGACAAATGAAAGTGAATTGATGGAAATAGCAGTAAAGCGTAACTTTCAAGGTACGTACTTAGTTATGCGTTGGGTAATTCAATCAAGGGTAACATCCTGCTCCATTAGCTGCGATGGCCCAATCATGTGCTACGCCGAAACGCCATAGCAGTAAAGCGTAACTTTCACTACAGGTACTTAGTTATGCGTTGGGTAATTCAATCAAGGGTAACATCCTGCTCCATTAGCTGCGATGGCCCAATCATGTGCTACGTATGCCGAAACGCCACCTGCTGAGACTATTGTTCTCCTTATCTCTTTTGAAGTGGTACAAGCCGTGAGGCGGACAACGTACACTTGGTAGAAAGGAATGAAGACGATTATGAAGAGTTTACGTGGTGTTAATGCGATCCTCCTTCAAGACAGGTCACTTTGACCCCCATGCGCTTGGTTGGATATATCGCACGATATGACGGCTGATTGATGTCAGTGACGTTTGTGCAGTCAGTTTCTTTACGAAGGTGTAGGCACTTCATAACGCTTGCAATAGGCCAGCGTCGGGTCCCCTCCTTCACCCACTCCTTCCTATTCTTTTCATTTTAAGGCTTTGAATATACTTATAGAAATTCGACAAATACACTCATTTGAATACGTATTTGTTTTTCACGGGGGACCCAAAGGAAACCCTCGCTTTTGATATTCTTCAGCTGTCGGAGAGCTTTCAGCAACCGTGTGAGTAGTTTCCCTTACGAGGATTGGGAAAACTGTCGTTTGTACGTGGGTGGAGCATTAGTGGCAACACTGATGTTACTATTTTTTGATTATGGGGAATATTGAGATTATTCACCTGATCTCTGCTCACTGACCCTCCTTCGTTAAAACTAACGCTCTTATTGCGTAACTATTTCCTTCCTCCTTAAACTGCCAGAGTGCATGGAACCTGTGCCGCTCTACTTAACACACATAGTACCCATAGCAACCGATGAATCCGCTTTTTCCTCCCCATTCTTTTTGTTCAAAGTTACGTATATACTCATTCCCAGATCCAAAGGTTCTTCAAATCACTAAGGGATGCCGTGGTATTGTGGGAGTTCTACTAAGATTCACTGGTGGACCTGGCAATCTTCGGTCGTTCGTGTGTGGCAAATTTGTAGTAACGGTATTTTCCTCAGTTTATTTCTCGGTCTGAACCTTAGACTAGCGTTTCCGTCAGAAGCAACCAGCAAAGGTGCACAACATATATGAACGCCCAAGACCAGTTTGAAAACAATTGGGCAGCGCTTCGTACATAAAGCGTATACCGCGACAACTTTGTGGAAGTTCTGAAAACCGGTATTCGGTGAATACTGGGTCACGATTGCCTGTTGGGTCCAGACTTTCGACCAATCAGCGCTCGCCTTGATCCTGGACTGGCAAGCCACCTGATTTTTTGGCCAATCGCGTGTCTCTTGGCCGTAGCAGCGCCAAACTGCGAGCGGTATCGTTGCGTGATTCCGCCTAACAAAATCACTTGCCATGACTAATTGTGACGCGGGACCACCTCCGTAATGACTTCGTCGTGGAAAACCTGTCAAGTAAAAGCGATGGGATCGCATATTCTGGTACATTTGTTGGCACTTGTCCTTTCATTTGCATCTCGCGGAGCTTCTCCTCTCTCCCTTTCCGCTAGGATCCCGATACCGGCAGGCTGAAGTATTTTTACCTGGGTTGTCGGTCTTCCTGTTTTCAGTCTTATTTCAGACGCCAACACCGAACCGAGAGTTACCAAGCAGCACGAGGATTCGCACCCCGGTAGTTATTCTATCGCTGCTGATTAGCCTTCTAGTGTCAGAAGTAACGCATGCGTGGTTTTTTACTGTTGGAGAGCGTTCCGGTACTTGTGGCTAGGATGAGTATTACAGATAGTCTTCGAATTCGAAGTCCAAGTATACGCATTGTGAACCAAATGATTCACTCATGGAGAGGACTCAATCTCCAGGTCTGACGTTGCGATTACACAATGTGTAGTTCACATTTCACAATTTACAACTAATCCTTATATTTCTAGCGGAAGGTCTGTGGTTGTTGTCTTGTGAGCGTTCAGCTAGCATACAGCTGATGGAAGTGACATGTGCGGACAACAATTTCAATTAAGTACGTAACACCACCGTCGTACAGCTTTCTACCATTTGCTCCATAAGAGCTGAAATAGTTCAGCGGTTAGGGTTCGAAACTGCTGACTGAAAAGTCCGTGGTCCGAACCCAATCCCGGCTTTGTGATTACTCCTGTTTATGTTTTGGGAATCTAGTATTATCTCAGCCGTCCTGCTTTCCTCTTGTTGCCTGGTGGCATATTCACCGAGAGGCTACCACTTTTGACTATTTTTTTTATACCTAAAATGAACCTCCGGGAAGAGTTCCTCTCGATACACATGCTGTGAACACGACTATTCATCGCGGGTACATTTTTTTTGGATGGGCTATACATAGACCACAGTTCAGTTGTTTTCGCACGTAAACCGTGGATTGACGTTGTTCGTTGGGAATGATCAAATCATAGCATTTGCAGACACCACCGTGTCAATTATCGTCCTTATTTCGCATACCTAAGACACTCCCTCATTTCCATAGTTCCCGTTTTGATTGTTTTTCTGGTATTACCATCTCGCTTCTCAGAGCACTCCCATCAAAGCAGTCTCCAGCCACGTGGGCGTTCGTCAGTCATGGTGTGGCTCGCACGATGGTAAACTCCTGTCAGTTCAATCCGAGCCAAATTCAGATGCGCTTTGCCGTAGTTGGACCGCAAGCACCTACTTCAACGCAGTGCAGGACCAGCTACCGGCTTTCGCGCCGGAACCAATTCTTAAAGTAATGTCATTAACTTGCGCGTTATTATGATGATTGTGAGTGTACTACTTCCGGTCTATGCATTCTAGTCGTATTTGCTAAGGAAAATATTAAGGAAAGTAAGATTCATTATCCTAGAATTTCCAGAGCTTTTTTAACCCGTTTATTTTCCTTATTTTTAACGCAGACCCAACCCGACAACGAAGGTTTTCGCCCACCGGGACCGATATTACCAAAAAAGGTTTCTAGGACAGCAGTCACTTTCAAAGAAGCTCTAGATGATGACTCATATACTGGCCACTCTGTCTGTGACAAGATACCCGACAGTCTTCCAGATTCCTCTTCCCCTGCTCTCCAAAGGCGTTTTCTCGCCCCAGCAAATGCTGGATCTGTTGACGGCGGTCGGCGCCAGAGACCAGGAGATCTGCCTATCCATCGGTTCAGCTCTTCCAACAACAACTTGTCTTATCAGTGTTCATTGGCACCTTCTGTTGCGACCAGTCTAGGTGACCTGACGGACTGGTCTGGGGTTCAGAAACATCAGATGCAGCACCCACTGCCCTCTCCCTTGGCGTCGTTGAAACACCTATTGGATTCACCGATGTGGGTTCAGAAGGTAATTTTTGTGTGCGTTTCTAAGGTTTTTTTTATCTGTCTTTCTCCCTGTTTTCACTACGTGGTGGAAATGCGAATCTCATAAGGGGAACGGTTTCCTACCGTCAGGATCTTGCAGTAGGTGTTGAATACCATGCTTGTACTCCCAAACCTCTTGGTAGTTTGTCAGTTTCTTTTGACCAGATTTCGTGGACCGTGGACACCAAAAAACAAACTGTTCCACCTTAGCTTGTCATGAACGCCCGTTTCATTGCGAAACTGATACTGAAAGATAGTGTAACTTCCGGTCCACCTTAAGAACAGGTTAGTCGAGAAATAAGCTAGGTACGAACCGGTGCCCTTTTAAGGAGAGGACCGTTTTTTAGATGCAGTTTGGGTCGTGTTGTTGTCATTCACGGCGAACTACTGAACTTCATCCACTTGCTGATAGGTTTTCCTACAAGATTGCTCAGAGGTCAGTGTGCAACATCGGAAGATCCGTTCGAACCGAACCTTAGCACCCCGACTGTTCTTTTCCAGACTTGAGCATCGTGGCAGCATCTCAGTCTTCATGCTTTTCAGGTGGCATGGCAGCCAAGCCCCGGAGGGGTGCTGCAGCTGAACGATCATCAGATGCCGTCATCCTTCAGTGACCATTCTGTTCCTTGACATTGCAGCTTGTTGCTTACTGAGCTAGTTTAAACAATTTGGGCGTTTTATGTGCAGATATAACCATAGGATGGCTTTATCATAAGTGTGAGCAACTAATCTAGCTAGCTTTTATATTCCCCGGTCTTTCCTGCTAAATAAACCGGGATGAATTTAGACTCTTCTCCTGAGGTTATTTATTTATTTAGCCCAGCTGATCGGTCGGATAAGATCGGTAAGCCCCTCTGACGGGAGCTTCTCAGGATGCTTCGGGAGAAATCATCCTCAGTGGGGTGAGATGGCTCAGTGGTTATGACGCGAATTTACTGACCGGAGGCCCGTGGTTCGAACCCGGCCTATGCCTCCCCTGTCTAGGCTTGAGGAACCTGACAGTATCTCAACCGTCGTGCTCCCTTCCGGTGGCATGGCAGCTGGGCATAGAGAAGTTGCTACAGCTGAGGGATTTTTTTGTCCACTCGGTGCATGCCATGCAACAGGATCCGTCCTTCAGCGCTCTGCTCATAGGTTATCTTTTGAGGCAATGCTAGTGCTTCAAGGAAGTACACAGGGAGTGGAAACCCGACTAGGCTCCACTACCAAGCGCCAGTGATGTTCTCACAGGTTAGGATGAAACTCCTCGTTGGTAGATGAATAATGTTCATGATAAGCTCATGTCACAGGATTATCTCTAGGATGCTCAATGCTGTCAGTCCTGGTAAGCTCCGTGTCCTTTCTCTTTTGGCTTGATGAATTCTATATCATTCCACTTAGGATTAACGAGGGAATGAAGGTTTCGTCGCTCATTTTGCTGTTACAGCATCTTTCTGCGGTCGAACAATTTTTCTGGCCGACATTTCCTTTGCCGTTTTCCTAGGCATCCGGTAGTAGTGCATTGTACCATTCATCTGGCTTAGCATCACCCATCCCATGGCTTGTGCGTCTGAGATGATTCATCGTGTCATCGGCGTTTTGTGACCCCGGGCTTCATTAGATGTTGACAGCTGCAAGCTTTCTGGGAATATCAGTTTGACTGGGTGGTAGTTGTTGTGAGCCGACGATTTTTGCAGGAAACCGGTCGTTTACGAATTGTTTTGATTCTCTTGCGCTCGTAAAAGATGAATATAATGTTTGACAGAATTCGCTGGCTCCAACCTAGCACTGTCACACACACAAATTTGGACAGCACAACTGTTTCGACTACTCACGTATTCTTGGCTTGTTGACCACCACTGATTTGTGTGTGACTATATGCATCTCTGCAAAGTTAACGGTGATGACTCATGTGCGCCGTTCGTCTGAAGGTTGCACACAGCTGCAGACGCCTCAGTTCATTCGGTATAAGTCGCACAGCAAGCACACGACACTGTCCACATTGTCAGTCATAACCACATGTCCGCACATTCTTACTGTGGTTGGTTTTTTGACTCTCATAGAGCTATGGATTGTACGCACCACCGTAGATACCGTTACCTATACAAAAATACCGTTTGATCTATGATTCGTATTACAATCCCTGTCCCGTTCATCATTGTCCCGTAACCAGATAACCATAATTCGTTCGTTTGTTTCGGACCAATCAGCATCGATTTCTTCTCCTATTTGCATGAGCTTAGATCGTTCTCAATTTGCATCCCTAACATACGTATATCAAGGGGTGCTTCTTTCTGTTGCACGACACTGTATGTGGAAATCCAGTATTCTGGGTTGCTTGTTTCCAGCCCGATTAGGGACATTTCTGTTCATCTTCCACCCACTTTCAAACCCACCAAAGGCAATTTCTCACAGCTGATCGTTCATTCAAACCCCTCGATCGATTTTCGTTAATTTTTTTTGCAACAAGCACTCGTTTTGCCCTTACATCATCATGTATTCGTGTGTGTTGTTTAGAGATAGTTGAGCGCTTCCCGTTGTTTTCGTTATTATGCCGAGGTCGCTCTCAATCAGTACGTACTTTGGCTGCCCCGCCTGCTATTTTGCCTTCCAGACTCGACTTCGTGAAACGGAACGCGAACGACGGCGATTGTTGGGTGAACTCGAGAAGGAGCGTAACTACCGTGATGAAGTGGAGAACGTGGTTGCAGAACTTCGTACTCAGTTGGACGAGGCCAGGCTGCGCGCGACCGAAGCCGAATCCAGGGCCACCCGGATGTCTCGTGATTTGGCCGCCCTACAAGACCAGGCTGATGAACTCAGTGTGTGTCGAGCGGAGCTAGCACTGAGAGACGATGCTATTGCCAGGTGTGTGTTTTGTTGTCCTATTCAGTTTTCTACTCCTGTTGGCTGCCTATGCTTACCTGTGTCTGCCTTCACTTTTGAATATGTTCAATAAAATTTCCTTAACATCTTTAGTCACTTTTAGGCGAAGGACATATATGAACTGAGTTACTTTTGGTGAGGTGACACCAAGCCGAAGCTGTTTGGTGTCATAGTTTCGTTAGCCTTCACTTAGAACAGTACACTTCCCAACAGCATTTTGGAAAGCTTTCTGAACTCGGATAATCTGGTAAATAACCTTCGAGGTGACCACACCTTATGTGCGCTGGAATAACTTAAAGCGATTGGATAGGTTTGTTTCACGCAGTAATCTCCGGTTTGTAATAGGTAAGTTGCGATTATCGATTTAAACAGGAAGCCCACAAACCTCATCATCGGTATCGACATCACCTCCAAGGTTCAAACATCAGTGCTTCACTTTAGCCTGGCCAGGTCACTTTATTCGAAGAGAGCACTTGCGTATGAGGAAGATAAAAGAAGAAAGGGTAGAGGCTAGCCACCCACAATCATCCGACGTGCTCTCATCATCAACACTCAGACACTCTGGAAAGAAACCCCAGTATGTTTGTACTCCATCGAGAGCGCCATCTACTTACACCTTTCACGCTTGTTCTCCAGCTATACCAACAATCGTGTTGACTGACCATTTTGCATGATAAAAGGTTTGTGCTTTTTGAGCGTTGCCATACGGGCCCGAAGCATATTCAAAGTACAATGGGCACCTAGATTTATATCGAGAACGGTATGAGGCGTTTCTGTATGTACATAAGTGTATGGATGTATTATGGAGGTTATTTTGTTTGACCAAAAACCGTCCCTCATGTACTTCATGATTAAAAAACGAGCCGAACCCTATTAGATGTACGTTTTGCCTCAAACTGCCTTGTGACACCACAGCCATTTGGGCATATGAGTTTCCCGTTAAGACCAAATTAGCGTAAAAATGAGTCTAGTTCTCTAACTGCTTCCAATTTGGTTTCAAGTAGAACATAAGGTTGACGGGAACTCTGGGGCTGCAGCTACCTGATGAGCCCCAAGAAGGGCGAAGCCGGTCGTGGGCTGTTTAGGAGTTTTCAACAACCTTATGAGTAGTGCATTACAAAAAAATATTAACGAGTTGTACTTTTTGTCAAGAAAATGGTTGACTTGTAGTCGCTACATATTGGCAAACCGTATCGGCACGTTTTGTCCTCATTACACTCAAAGCACAATTGCGGTTAACACAGTACTAGTCGGGTCAGATAACTAAATAGCGGAATGTCCCTCCGATCTGTCAACCAGCTGACTAGTTGGACATAATATAATGAAGGGTGACTAGTGGTCAGGGAGAATTAAGCGGGTTCACCATCCAGTGCCATGCCAGTAAGTGGTTGAAAAACGACTTGTCGGCTGGATGGCGAATGCATGTGGAATCAGTCTGTCGAATGTATCGCACGATGTTGTTATTGTCTCTTCTGCTCGTGTGGGCTTCCCAGCTGTGTGCTTTTGATATTCGGTGGGAATAAGACTTTCCGCACGATAGTGTTGTCCATTTCCGAACGGACATTGCCTGTTGTTTGTTTACTCGCAGTTCATGTCAATCAGTCCATGGAAAGCGAAGCCCCGTCAATCAGTTGGTGACTGAAACCACATTCACTTGCCTTTTGTAACTCGGGGAAGAAGGGCAAAGTTAATCGGAATCAGACCGACAGTGCAATCGCCATCTGTTCCTAATATTACATCCCCTTGATCACATAAATCGCCTTATTAATGACAACAATGCAGCACTTTTTAACTAGCACTCCGAAAATGGGCAAACTAGCCAGGGTTAGCCAAGATGTGTTTTACACCTCACAAGACAGTCTTTGTGTGCTGCCAAAGCGTATAGGTGACTTTCAAAGACGTTTCACAGACATGCCACACTACTCACAAGGCTGCTGAAATCTCTTAGCTTACGATCGGCTTCGCCCTTCTTTGGGCTTTCAGTTATATCTCGTACATAATAAGAAAGCTATCCTATCAATCGGTCGCCACTTGTGACACAATCTTGTCGCCTAATCACTCTTTTGGCGACATTGTTGGACAATCGCCGTTCAACTGTTGTTTTCATTTTCCCTACTTGGAATATGTTTCTACCTACTGATGATTAGCCAACTTCTCTGCGCATGTGCATCTGTTTGTAATAGTGTCCTGATTCTTGGTTTTGTTCTTTTCCCCCACCAGTCTGAAACAGCGTTTGAACTCGTTCCAAGACCTCATGTCGCATTCGCGCAAGTTGGAGCTAGAAAATTCCAATTTGCAACAGGAATGTGCAGATCAAAAACAAAAGGTGGGTGGCAGTTGGTTGTCGCTGCTTCTGCTCCTGTGCGAGCTCGTCCCATGCATCTCGGGAAATTAAAAAAAGTTCGAATCGTCTCTCTTTCGTCCCTGATTCGCAATGGACATCTGGCAGCCCTGAACCTAGTCCGAATTGATAGAATCGATACTGGTCCACCGACAATTTTAGACTGGATCGAATAATGATCATAATTAGCTCTTAGGTTGCGCCAAACTCATTGGGTTTCATACTCCAATGATCGTAGTGTTTCAGCGATGTTCGGTCAGTTGTATCCACACCGTTTACATGTATCCATTGATGCCAATGTTTTATCAACGGTCTGAAAACTGCCGTCGTGGCCACTCACAGCTATGCTAAAATGCAGTGAAATCGCGAAAAAACTATGCAAGAGAGATACTACTACTGTAACGGTGATGCTACTGATCGGGAGGCACGCGAGTAGTATTCGTCGTTCGTAGAATTTCGCTTTGCGTCGATTGAAAAAGTGAATTCTGTTGCGGAATTTGTGGGGCCACTTTGTAACATTTGCTTGGATTCGATCGACGAATGAGTGGAGGCAATAAATCTCTAGGAAGACTCGTTCGGGAGAAGATCTGTGTCTAGTCTTTGTAACTAAGATGCAGATTAGAGTTTTGCTTCCCTGTTCAATGGTCTGTAACAGGTCAGTTGGCATTTCCGAATAAATAACTCCGCAGCGAAGGCCTTCTTCCTTTCACTACTACCACTTATGTTAGTAATAATAACAGCAATAAATAGCCCGCTATAGCTCCACGGTCAAAGCTTAGTCCGTGGTTCGAACTCATCCTGGGCATCACTGCTGCTCCCGTTCAGGATTGAGCAGTAATAATAATAATAATCGTCCAGCTGTAACACTCGGTTTGTAGCTGCCGTGTAACTCGAAGGAAGCACGGAGCATGTGTTAGTGCCGGATTCCTCAACCCTAGACAAGAGTAATCGAATAGCCAATGCTGGATTCGAACTCCAGGTCTTCTGGTCGAGGACGCTGAGCTATCTCCAGCCGATCACAAACGGCGATAAGCCACGAATAATCCCTAAATACCGAAATTCTCTCTGTATACCAAAGTATCTTTTTCACTTGTATTAATACGACTATCTCTACCCCATCGTCTGATACTGTGCACTCCGGGCTTTAGCCGATGTGTTTTCAACAACAGTTCCTTTATCTTACCTCTTCGTAACTATTTAAAATAGGTGAAGTTCTTGTCCGTGCTAATGTCCTCATGTGCGTGTGTGCTCACCACCCTTTCAGGATGGTACTAGTTTTAACTCGATGACAAAGCATCCTGATCAAATGCAAACTTTCTTCTGCTTTCATACTGTGTTTCGGGAATTAATCCTTAAGAGGCTCTACTTTCCTTGAGTAGTTCTCCAATAAATCTCTGTGAACTATCCTCGCATGCAATCGTTCGTAATCGCTGATGTGCAACCCTGAACTTTCTATTTGAAACGACAGTGACAAAGGTGGATAATATTTTCGGCAAGCAATCAAAATTTTTACTGGTTTTTATTTGGTTTCCACAATAAATAGTTATGCCCCATCGTCCACCAAAACCCTATCAAGCGAACGGTTTGTGGTGAGAGACCTAGTGCCTATCAGCGCGCAACATGGTGTACTGTCAGTTATAAAATCGATTGCCTTGTAATCATCTCATCCTTCTGATCAAAGTCCATTTTAATGTGACTAGATAAACCACAGCATCTGACCTTGAATACCTACCAAGACTACCCAGTCGAGCTTTGTCTGTGACTGACTACGCATGATGTCGGAGTAGTAAAAACCGCAGATGCTCTCTGCCGGGTGACGATATATGCCTTCATCAGGATTAGGTGTCTTGGAGTGCACAGCTTTGTCTGATTACAGTTCGAGTGAAATCAATGCGCTGGATTTTCGCAGTCGCTTCATCTGGATAAATCAGGTCATGAGTTTGACAAATCAAACAGACGAGGTATGGGTCAGAAGTGATATAGTAGTAAGGCAAACAGCTGTGGGTACAATGGTGGCAAAACGCTCTTTCGCCTTTTTGTAACGCAAAGTTTGACAAGTCTTCAGCAACTTTATAAGTACCTTGTTACGTGTGTGTGACGCAATACCTCGATTTGCTCAACAACATAAGGCGGCCTGGTGTAGTACATTCGGTTGGAACGGACCACCATAAACTAGGAATTCAGCTGAACTCAGTCGAGTCTCCTGTCAAAACCAAGTTTGTATGCAATTAATAGTATTTATCGAGCCCTTCAATCTCATTCTCCTCTAGGTACTGATTTGGGTTAGTCGGATTGGTGTTCTTTTTCTATACCTTTCGCTGTACCAGTTTTTGTTGATTGATATATCCATTGGTTGATACTATATCTGAACGTTCCCTTGATCAAATCCACTTTTTTATGTCGCTTAGACATAAACACACCAGCTGTGCTATTTCCGCCGACACTGATCTAGTTATCTATGTGGAGCGGAATTTTGGCAGTTTGATCGCCAGGATAATTGCTGTCGTACATCTCGTCTACCTTAACCCGGTCTCCTGTCCGGCCTACTTGTTGTGTGTGGACACCATTTTCGCTCGCCATTGGCATGTCCCTCTGGATTGATCCGATCTTGTTATCTCCGCAACGTGCTTTTTCCTCTCTTCTAGGTTGAACAGTTATCTGCCAAATTAAGCGAGATCAAGGACCGCCGTATGATGTGCACGGAAATGGAGACGCTTCGATCGAAATTGAATGATGTGGAAGCACAGGTAAGAGTTTTATTGCGATTCTTCTGATACTTGCTCACCTTTTTCTCTGGTAAATTCGTTCGCTTCCCAAGTACTTCTCTTTCTCCACACGTTGCTTATGCGCAAAGCTATACCGAAGTTGACCTTGGATTTTGTGGGTGATGATTAACATAATTCTTTTTTTGCCTTAACTCATCACACAGGTTATTGTATACTATAGGTCTAGGTTTTAAGGGTTTCGTTACCATAGGAACGTGTGAATATGTGCTCTCTTTCTCTTTGGGTTGTCGCTTACATCGTTTTACACTCTGGACGTTCTCTTGTCACACCGATGGCCAAGACAATTTCTTTGATACATGATTCATAGCCGGGAAGGTAGAAGTAGTTAAAAGAGGGATGAGAAATCTTACTCAGTAGACCCTCTGAAGAAGAATCCCCCCGAAATGCAAATGGGATGCTCCAATGTTATTTTTATTGCGTAAAACCGATTTTTTTCCTCGAGAGGGAAATATACTTAGACGGGATATAATACTCTTTGGGTTGCTGAAAATCGTTTGACAAACCATGACCGGTTTTGACCTTCCTAGGGTTCATTAGATGGGCATACTTACCAAGTTCCGTGAAGCTCATATCCCACTTGAACCCAAATCATACACGATTTGCAAACTACAATAATTTGGTTTTGCCTGGGGGAAACTGAATCCCAGCTGAACCCGAATGTGTCGTACAAAGGCTGTCCCATGTTTTAGCTGAGACTATATTGAATAATTTCATGACAGATGAGTATATTTCGCGAGAGTGTACTTGACTTCATGATATACACCGTCCTAATTGGGTTGCACAGCAGTTTGCGGACAGCAGGAAATACCTTTTTTTCGGTGTCCCTTACCAGGAAGCCCTGTTTTGATAACTTTGGTACTTTCAATAAGTCACCTACGTTAGATGATGCTTGCTTTTGAATGGAATCTCTGCTTTATGTTGTGCTGTTGTGAACCTTTCGGTTTAGGAGTTAACTGTACCTAACCCGAAATTCTCAGATCCGTCAGCTGTGTGTACATTAATTCTGATAACGGACAACAGGTGGCAACGGTTGAAAAACAGTGAACGAGTTGTGACTGAATTTCGACCAGACTGCTTTTTCTGTCAACTGGGTAGGTTTACGTGGACGTCAAGCTACCCATTTGTGTTCCGTTCGTTGACTGGCAGATTACTCATCAATGTCTCGTGGGACGAGGTCACGGGCCACCCGTGTGATTGTACCGTCGGAAGCCGAGTCGCGCATGTCGGTTCGAAAAGTTCTGTTGCAGGATGCTGTTATCTTTTTTCCTCACAACGATATGGCCAGCCGCTCCACTGGGAGGCGGAGTGCTCGCCCAAAAGTTGAACAGTTATTGGGTAAAATAGTTCAGTTGTCAGGTCTCACACGCCATTTTCTAGAAGCCGATTTATCGACCTTAGGATTTTGGTCTCACCAGCTTATTGATTTTAAACTCTGACTTACTAGTTTTTTTTTACAAAAGGAGAACAGAGCAACAGGGCTCGTGCTCATCGTTGCCGGTTAAATTTCAAAACTCTGGAACCCCAAGGGTGTAGACAGGTTGAAACAAAATTATCAGAAAATTAGGGTGGGTTTTTTGTTAAGTAGGTTTCTATTTAGAGCCATGGCCATTCTATTCCCCATCCTATCTGGCAAATCGTGGGTCTGGTCACCATGGCAACTCTACCTTCTTTTTTGGCGTAGCATTGGAGTATTTCTATCATCCATCGGATTTCGCGTGACTTGTCGTACTATGGTTCTGTTCTTCCGAGAAATGTGCACTTCCAGGTGAATTAACCTGGCAGTAAATTCACTTCTTATCTCCGCGTCCATTTCCAGGTTAGAGCAATACTGCCGTTGTTGCTGGTGCTTATGTGTATGGCTAGTTTACCCGGTCTCATGAAACTTGTTGATATTTGCAGCGAGAATCATCTGCGGACGATCTCATTCCAAGCATCCCAATCCAGAGAACCTCTGAGCTTGGTCTTTACTGTTTTATGGAGCCTTCATTCTCTTAGGTGGCGAGACATCATCACCAAGTCTCTGGAAACAACATTAATTCAAGCAAATAGGGAGGACTTAACTACCCAGCAGTGCACCCGGCTGGGTGCACCACCCGGTGCTCGCCACCCCGGTTGGTGGCGAGATGTTTGCAAACTAGTTGCCAAGCTCAGCGAACAGATCAACGGCCACCTGCTCAGCTGCCACTCAAAATTTGGCGATCTCCCACCACCAACCAGGAGACCTTTTTGCTACGCTGAACCCGGAGTGGTATATACCGAAAGGCAAGCAGCGTCTGGCTTGAAAACGGTTATGAAACCCGGTGTTTCCGGTACCACCCGCCTTCACGGACGAGATCCGCATGAGCACCTCCATTTTCGGCTAGAGACACTACGAGATATCGCAGTGATCTGAAGTCAATGGTGCTCGTATTGCCAGTTGCTTCTCAAATTGTCTGGCTCACTCTTCGAGATGTAGTCACCTCGTATGTTTGTTCTAGGCCAGCACTAAGCCTCTTTCGTTCCTACCTTCACATGTGAGTTTTCCTGTGTGCTGGTTACACCTTGGTGTTGAGGGACTAAAAGGGGCTCTTCTCTTTTCCATGTCAATGCCTACCCAGTCACAGACAGCTTATTTGTCACCCGCCTAGCACGGCTTGCATGGAAGAACGTATCGCTTTTCTCCTAATTGACCTCTTTAATTTATGCATGTGTTCAGGGTACCCGGTCGTCCGGGATTCGTCCTCACAAATCATTCGCAAAGAAAAAGTGCTAGCAAGTACCGTTCGATTGTCTGTACTTCTCATCTGAACTTGCGATGAATGATGAAAACTTTGCAAGTTCTCGTCCCCCCCCCCCCCCATCAATTTCTGTGTCTTCCCGCATCCACTCCAGCAACTGAGTTTCCTTTGAATGGAATCGTGGCGTTGTTCTCTTCCGAATTCCTCAGGCAGCATAATTTTTGATCCGAATCGTCTACTGTGCGAAAACATAGGTTCTCACAATTTCGGTCAAATATCTAGGTCATTCTTTCCTTTTTTGCAAGGGAATAGTGCAAGCGAAATGCCATATTGCACCGTCAAAGTTTGCTTCCTGTGGATTCTGCCCTGTGTGGTCATACCGTTTTGATCTGGTCCAGAATTCAACCCGGCAATACTGCGAACTGAGGGAAATCTGTTTAACACATCGGCCCTATTGACTGCTCAAAATCGGCTTATGAACGGTATGGGGGTAACCCGAATTGACTAAAAGCCGAATTCATATGTTCCGCATATGATGCTACTGGTTCGCCTAACCGATCGAACTCTCAAAACGTTCACGCTCTCCAGGTGACTACTCTTGACAGGATGGCAAGATTCGGGACCTAGTGACAGTGTCCTCGAAGTATGGATGCGGCGTCAACCCCATAACTCACAGACTCCCTGTACCTCTACTCCGTTTTTATCCAAATTCTCCTGAGTTCCACCGAACCGTTGCACCAAGTTTTATTCTCTGTCTTCTCTGCTGTTGTGACTTTCGTGGTATCTTTCGTCGTTTGTTAAAAACCAGTTGTTTTCTCTCTGACTAGAAATCGTTCTAAGAAACTGAACGGAATGACATGCCGCGCGTATCCCACTAAGGTAGCTGATTTAGTCAGCTGACTAGTACAATGGTACAATGTCATTGCATTGATTCATCTTGCACCCAGTGGTATTCTATTCTGCCTCGTCCTTGGGTGAAACCGTTCTAGCTAGGTTTTTGAAAGGACAGGTTGTTTTTAGTATTCTCCTAACATAATAATACTTTACGTATACAGTTACTGAAAACTCTTTGCCAACCCACTGTCATTCTTGGGACCCATCAGATGGATGTTAACCCAGAATTTCCATTAACTAGGTGAATACACGCCAGTGGCGAACTACGTTCATTTGAAGATTGAGTTGATCTTGACGGGAGACTTGAGTGGGAACTGGCCGAACCTCTGGCTCGTCGTACTCTTTAAGGAATGGAATATTCCTGGGGCAGTCCACAAACGATATCTTGTATCTAGTATGACACTGGAAAGCAATACGCCCGCTAGCACTCAACTCAGTGTTCGGGTGGCACACTCACCTCAAGAGATTATGCGTATAGTCGTCTGCCCTCAGGATGAATGCAGACCAAAACGTCACACGAAAAAGGAGTGCCTCTTGTTATCCACATCTTTTGTCAAGTCAGTCACTTTCGTGAAGGTTTTATACATAGCCACTCGGTAGTGTTGCGTGTGAGACAAAAGTACTTTCATATTTTGAATGTTTCGGCCAACCGTGCTCCGCCAGTTATCCAATTAGGACAAACATCCATTTCGCTCAGGCGTACTACTCATAAGTAAGTCGAATTTCAGCTGCCCATTGGCAGTACCATGGAGGGGTGTTGCGCATAAGAATTTTGAGTCCCACGTTCCCCTGAGTGACCTCGCCCCGACTTATATGCGGGCCACACTTCAGGTGGCGTTATTCCCCCATTGATTCCGCCAAAGGAATTTAGGCACCATGGTTTCTCCAGACCACGGCAACTGGGCGTAGTAATTTCCCCCTAATCGGAAACCCAACTCAAACAACTGTGCAACTTTTTCCCTATGATTTCCATGCAATCGGACTTGTAATTACCTGGTTTGGATTGTGTGGATTGGGTCCGTCACACTCTCGCTTTTGTGATTGTTTAGCGATGGTGTAAGACCGAACGAACGTCGTCTTTGTGGAGCGAGCATGAATAACGCTGTTATCCTATTTTCTTCTTCCGATTCTACCGTCTCCTCCAGCTTCTAGTTGTACAAGTTATTCACTGTACTTTTACTCTTATCTTTCTCGATCAGCTGGCCCAACAGATACTGGAACGGGAGAGTGTCGAGAAAGATGCTCGCCGTCAACAAGAGTTGTACAGTCAACTAAAGTTGCAACAATCTCTGGCCGAGAAACGTCGTGCTTTGAACCTTCGTCGAACAACTGTAGCCACATGCTCCCCTAGCACACTCAGCTTGCCTGGCCAACCAAACTCCGTTCATTCCACCATTGGTAGTGTGAATGACATAGAGTTCGAGACGTCAGTGTTGAATAGTTCCCAAAGTGCCGAAAACGGGTTGGCCAAGATCGCTGGCAGTGGTAAGTTGCTTGTCATCCTTGTCCGTTATTGGAAAATTCGACTGAAAACACGCTAGTTGTTTTTCTCGCGTAACTCGCCCGTGTCACGCTATCTGTCAACAATGCCAGCAACTGAATCATCCAGTTTACTCGATCGTTGACGTTCATATATGCCCTAAAGAGGGATCCTTGTTTGTTCCAACTTAAAACTGCTGTTATTTATCGTAAATAGCGTGTACCCCTTCATAAGTTGTTCAGCTAGTCATCCCGTTCTTACCGGGGAAATCTGGCTGCTGACTGCTTCGTCTTGGCTTCTGCTACGTCTGGTCATCCTTTCTCGTACCTGACACCGTATGTTCGGTTCATACCTCAAGCATCCGATACCGAATAAATGGTTTTCATTTCATAAGTGTGCTCATTTGGTCCCGAATGAACAAGACTGCTTGATGTGTAGGTCGAACGTTTGATTGAAAACAACACACTGTCGGTCCACCACTTCGAAAAACAAACCAGACGAGGCTCATGCAAGCCAAACTCGCAGCTAACCATACCGTTTCCGTAGAAAAAGGTCCCGACATTTTTATACGATAATAATAGCAAGCATTTCAGTCTCCTTCAAAAGGAGTGCAAGGATGACTTCATGTTCAAACTGTGGTATGAATCCCGAGGCGTTGCATACCACATGAGAAATTTGGTTGGTATGGAGCTGTTAGCGTTCTGTCTTTTAAAATTGACGCCACCGTAACGTGAAAAGGATGTTTATTGGTCTGAGTGAACGTTCATCGTGGTCTCACAATGTTGCGAAAGATGCTACAGAACAACCTGGTCTGCATACGACCAACGGAGTTGGACGTTGGAGCGAATACAGAGGTGCACTTTGTGTCGACTTGGCAGTCGCTCGGCGTTTCTGGAAATGGTCTATCCGAGGTAATTCATGTCACCCCGGAGCTAATCATTCAAAATTAAAGGAGGTATGATCGTTATTCTCAACAGCCTATCATTTCTCTGTTGGCTTGCAAGTTGTATCGGCTTCTTTTGAGGCATACGTGTGCCGGTAAATAAATGTGACTTGATGTGATTCACAGAGCCAATTTACGAGGAACTTTGTTCCGGGCCCTGCTCGGATCCATCATTCTGCGGCAGATAATCCTGGTAAACAAGCAACAGCCAGACAGACGCTCCTGGCTTCGGCAAGATGAAAGATATTGCGGGATGAAGGTTACTCACTGTTTGCTTTTGGGCTTCAAAACAGCTCGAACGAACGACTCAGCAGCTTTGCCGGATTCAACGTATACTAGATAATGGGGTCCGACATGTTCGCAACTACACCCCACAGGAACTGAGTGTGTTCCGTTACCACCAGATGTACTGGAAAGTTTGCCGATGTTTATTGCAAGCAAAAAGGGTAAGATAATGACGCTTATTACATTTGAAGGAATATAGTCTTTAATTTGCCGGGTCGCATCAAATGTCGCTTGACTTCCGCAACAACTGGCACGGCCTTTGGAAAGCCAATTTTTCCAATGTATTCCTGAGCGTTTTTATGAATTCACATAAGGTTATTTGCGGAGATTTTAAAAATTGACGGAAGTTGGTGAAAATCTTGACTACTTCACCTAATTGGAACCGGGTAACTTGTTTATCTAAAAATCGTTCAGCTGTAGCACCCTTCCGGTGCCTAGCTGCCATGCCACCCAAAGGAAGCACTTGTTTATCTGCTTAATGTCGGTCATGCTTTCAATGTAACAGTGGATATATACAAAGGAAGCACAACCATGTGAAAGTTCCTATTCGCATCAAAAGTCATGTAATTCGGGAGAACCCTGTTCGAGCTCAAATCTCACAGATCTACTGTCCACTGTATGATAAACCTTATTTTTATCGTAAACAATTTCTGGGACCCAACTCTCCATTCGTTTGCTCAAAACGGTGACACTATTTTCCCAGCAGCATAAGCAAAGCATCAACTTTTAGGGCAAGTTGATGGGCAGTTCCACCGTTTACTTTGGCGTCTGTAAGATAAGGGAATCGACCCCCATCTTTTGAGCAGAAGGCCGCAGCAGGTTTATCTCTTCAGCCTACAAACATCCTACGCGACATCCATTACTCCATGGAAATCCGCAGAGTGGTCTTATCTAAAAGTTGCTCGGATCTAGTACAAACTCACCGTAACTGTTGGATATTCCATAACATCGTGATCGATGGGCCAATCTAAACACCATCAGACTATGACGGGGCCGCTTCTCTCACCTTTCATTTTTGATGAACCCACTATCCAAGCACTTACTTACTAACTGCAATGATTGGAGCGGGTATTTCCGTAATTTTGGCATGCCCCTCTCGATGTTATTATAGTCAGTGTCGGCGATGACGGAGTGAACTGAAACCGTATGCCACCACCATCACTGATAGCAACCTCAGAGAAGGATACTGGTGCTTCACTGCGGTACACGTAACAGGGGATCCCTAAGCTTTTGGACTGGCTTCATGCTTTGCTGAGGAGATGAAGACATCAGCATGGAGCCGTTCTGACCCTTAGCCCCCACGTTTGACCCTTACAAACAGGCATTTCATCTTGACTCGATCGAAACAATCTCAGTTTCGTGACGAACCTCACTTGATAGACAGGTTACGGGGTCGTCCTAGTGTGTATCGTAGGAAACATGGTGTTTTGTCAGCTGCTAGTCTTTGATTAGCTAGCAGAATATCTTAATTCAAGAGCAAATTGCATGCCGGATTTTTGGAGTTGTGCTTGCTATCTCAACGGAGTTCCTCACGTCCTATGTAATTTCACGTTCGTCTGCTAAAAAATCAAACTCCTGCCATATTTGCCATTCATCCATCCCGTAGGCCATGACACGAAGCTGTTGGGCCAACTTCGGAGTGGCGAGAACCTAGGCTCTGTGCTGGAAACGGATCTCCGGTCTGCTCATTCTCATATCAGCCGTTTACAGGTAAGCCTGTGTGTATGTGATCGGTCCTGTTGCATACTCTCCTAATTGTAATTCTTGGTTAGGCATCTGATCAGCCCGCTAGTTCAGAAAGAAGGCGGAGAATAGCTTCGTGAACACTGAATGCGTGCTGAACAAAGTGAGTTCGAGACAGCTCAGTAGTTAGGGCGCGAACTTACTGATTCCAGAGTCCGTGGTTCGAACTCATTCCGGCCATCTCGACTGCTCTTGTCTAGTCTCAAGCAGCCTAGAACTATCTCAGTCCCTGTACTTCCTTCGGATGGCATGGGCACCGAAAGGATGTTAAAGGGGGACCGTGAACCAGATGTTCGACAGTGCATAGCTGGCTGAACAGACAAATCAGCCAATGTGTATAAGCTAAAATGAACAATATGAATTACCGTTTCGCTTGTAAGCGTGTACGTGATGTCGAAATGAAGTCAGCTGCGTACTAAATAGCATAAAATGCCCATCAGATGAGTCACGAACGAATGGAAGAAACGGGACTCGTACTTGGGTATCATGGACTAAAATAGCCTTTTTCTTTTGAATTGAGTGTCTTACGATATTTCAGTTCATCTCACCTCAGTACTGCAGCCCTCAACTTTTAAACCAGGAAGATTGGTGTGTGTAAAATTTTAATCAAAAGCCCGTAAAATTCGTGTGATTGAATAGATTTTTTCTCTAAGTGTGTATACGGTTCAATGGAATACAATTTACAGATAATGGCTATACGAAGGGTGACTTTCGGGGATCGAATTATCACCCCAGCAGAACGAGCAAAGTCATTGGTTCCCGAACTTTTCTAGACATAGTTGGTGATTCCTTTCACTTGTATCCAAAGTGTTTCTGCCCGTCACTGCTTTTACCAATTAACAAACGTTTGGACTTGGTTGGAAATGCAGATGCTCCTTAAAGTAAAATTGTTTAACCCTTTCGGCGCCTAGATGGCGTACCCCCGAAGGAAGCACGAGGGCTGAAATTCTACCAGGTTTCCCAAGCCTTGACAGGAGCAGTTGACCTGCAAAGGTTCGGTTCGAACCAATGGACCTTTTGACCAGTAATTCCGCATCTTAATCACCGAACCATATTGAATTCATTATACTCGGTAGGCATTAGAACAATATCTTGACGGCCTGTATGCTTGAACGATACATGGATTTCCTTTCCCACTTCCATATTTCATATTTCCATGTATCTAACTGATGGCTAAGTCCCTCTGATGAGTGTTAATGGAGGAGTGGTCCGTGTTGTAAGTCTGTTGGCTTAAATACTAAACCATTTATCACGCGGCCGAATAGTTCAAGCGCGTTTTTCCCAGACGAACGATATCCCATCTTTTCCGGTTAGGGTCTGCTGTCATCGGTCAGTTTCTCCCGCACACTGCCGCTCACGAAATTTCCACATCCTTCAGATGCGTTCTTCCCAAAGTCTCAGTCGTTGCGCCCACGGCCAGCCGCATCCCATTTGTTTGTGCCAAATGGCCGTCACTTCAACTGCCGTGTGCTCAGCATTTACTGTCAATTAAGTGCCGACCCACTCGTACTTTTGAGTGTACCGTGACACAAACTAGTTGTTTGTGTGATGCACATCCTGATCGACGCCCACGTATGAGTATCATGTGATCATTCTGCCAGTGATATGTTAACATCACCCTCAGATGGCTCGTCTCACAGAGACACAAACTGAAATTCAGGTTGCACAATCGTGCACTAGAAATTTGAATCACTAGCTTTCGATATCATGGATGAACAAGTAGATCACCTCAAATTTTCATCTTCACGTTCGCTAGTAAGAGCCATGGGTGTGCTTCTCATCGGTTAAGCTGGAAACCTTTCATGGTTCATTTTCCTGAAAAATTAAGTTGGTAGCAACACCGCGCTATCTCTGCAGTACATACAGGTTGGTCGTGATGACGATTTTGCATTTAAGTGGCTTATCAGCTTAATCCGAGTCATGGCGCCTAAAAATCGAGTGAATTTAATTAGGACGGGTGCTTTTTAAGAGTCTGGAAATTTGCAAAAAACTGTTGCTGTGTGTTTAACGCAACCTTCATCCGTTTGAACTAAACATCAAACCTGTTAAGTGGAAGTGATTCATCTAGTCTTGTGAATCATGCTTGGTTAATGGTAAATGACGCCTCCAAAAAGAACGCTGACAGGGACTTGTTACTGTTTTTCAGCAATCCTAACAGTTTACACTGGATTCGTTCGCTTTCCATTTTTTCGGTTGAGTCGCGGAAATTTGGGTTTAGATTAGCCTCTTGCTTGTCTATTGTGGCGAGCTCAAGACGGCTCAGTGCTTAGGGTGCGAGATTACAACCGGGGACATTCATGGTTCGGTCCCAACCCTGCCATCTCGACTGCTACTGCTTAGACCCGGGAAAACTGGCAGTATCCAAGCTGTTGTATATCTTTCGAATGGCATGGCAACTAGGCACTGAAAGGCGACATGCCTCAGTGGTTACAGCGCGAATTTACTGACCGGAAGTTCGGTGGTTCGAACCCAACCTCTGAACTGCGACCTCTGTATAGGCTTGGGCAACCTGGCAGTATTCCAGTCCTCGTGTTTCCCTTGAGTGGCATGACAGCTAGAAATCGAGCAGGGTTACAGCCGAACGATTATCATTATTGTTATTACTGTTGTTATTATTATTAATTGTTTTTGATGAGTCTCTTCGGGCTCAATACAGCTCGCTGGTTAGAGTGCAAGCCAACCAACCGGAAGACTGGTTTTTCGAACTCAACCCCAGAGTTTCAGTTTCTACGCCGTCAGGTTGATGGTAACTCAGCTCTGGTGCTTTCTTTGATTTGCACGGTAACTATTCACCGAAAGGGTGTCACAGCTGAACAGTTATTTCTGCACTTTATGGGAATCCCTTCAGCTGACATGACGATAACGAACTTCGTGTACGTCATTAGGCCGCAACTACCGCCTTTGATCATGGTGACCAGGCCATGATGCAGACCAGTAGGTTTATCTCTTGGATCGATTTCCTGGTCATAGCAACGGTAGTTCTTGGGTTGTTTTAATGGCATCAAGCAATTCTACGGAACCGTTTGAGCCCTCAGAGCTTTATTTCCATAAACTAATGTGACTTTACTGATTCGGTAGTCTTTGAAGGACTTGCATATGCTGCCTTCAGTTGGTTGTAGTAAGACGGTCATATTCAGTGAAAAGCGCCCTAAAACCATTTTGGATGGCGATACTCATACGTGCTAACTTGTGGCTTGTCTGTTCGTTCCAGTCATGTCACGCACCCATTTTCACTGTTATGACTACTAGCTGTAGTCATGCACGTACGCCTTTGAGTCATCCGCGCACATCCATAGATTTTCTCAGTTGAGTGAAGTATGGGCCAGTTCCGCAAAGCTTCTCAACAGCGAATATGCTGCGACAGCTTATCCGTCCAGAAAATCACAGTCGTATAAAGTGTGTGGATCTTGGGGAAGGTGGTTTAAAAGTCGAATAGCGAAGGATAGATCCAGTAAAACGGGGTTTGCATCACTAACTGTTTTGATGAATCCTGCGGGTGCTGGTAGGTGACGATGCCGCGTACTGAGGTTAAGCTGTGCGTGTTTGAAGTGTCTCCTAATAAGCGCGAAATCAGAGTGGTCCCCCACTCACATAACAGGATCGAACAAGATTTCTCGTCAGTCGCTGAAGCCCTAGCAATCGCGCTGTTACATTTTGACTGATATCTATCTATTGATCCGTGGGTTGGGTAAAATCCAACAAACGTTGCTGGACTAATAGCGCTGTCCCCTACGGGCGATATGGTTCAAGTGGTTAGAGCGCGAATTTACTGACCGGAAGGTCTGTGGTTCGAACCCGACCTCTGCATCTCGACTTCCCCTGTCTAGGTTTGGGCAACCTGGTAGTATCCCAGCCCTCGTGCTTCCTTCGGGTGGCATGGCAGCTAGGCACCGAATGGGTGCTACAGCTGAACGCTGTCCCCTACGAGGGCGAAGTTGCGTGTATCCTAAATCCACTTACACTTCGACAGATGTATCGCCCTCCACAAGAGCGGCTTCCAAGCTTAGAATAACCTTCGCACTCGAAATAGCTCAGTGGTTAAGGCTCCAGGCTACTGACTAGGTGGTCCGTATCCCAAATTTCATTTTTTTTTCAGTTCCTCCTGTTTAGGCCTGGTCAGATCGGTATGGTCTTAGCCTCACCATGTTTCCCCCAGGTGCTTGGCTGTTACACACCGAGAGCTTGTCACAGCTGAATGTTCATTCATTATTATTCATGATCCGTGCGCTCATGTTAAAAGTATCTTCATTGTACGTGCAAACCCATACTAAAACTACGTCTTTGACTGCACAAATGGGATGGCATTAACTGGTACACACCATAAAACCGTTGATTTGACCACTAATAATGCCACTAATGCCACTGATTCAGTTCAACCGCATGCTTCGATCTAAAACGTCCATGGTGTAACCATTGCCAACGGGAACCATCCATCCAATGGAACTGGCATTGTTTAAGGACGCATCCATGCACTGAGGTGCCTCACAGTATGATAGACTATTTTTCATTCGATGAAAGCGTACATGTTTCTCGGTCGGAGATGTGCTTTTGAACATATGTGGCCTTCGTACAGCGCCCCAATCAGAATTACATGAGGTTGTTATGTAAATTGTGATTGGTGTCGTTCGACCGTAGGGCGCATAATAATTCCAGTCCTGTTGGAAGAAGACATCGGTGGAAAGCTTATCTGTGAGTTTTAGACGAATTTTCGCATATTTCAGAACGCCTTTTGACGAGCCTCTGTGCCCAAAGACTTATTTTACGACCGTCGGCCGAACGACCAGTAAGGTTATACAAACAACAGACGATGGACTGAATCATTTCTTGGTCCAGCCGCCAATGCAACCTCCCGCACAAGTCGCACATCTGACCAAGCGTAAACATGCGTTGATGACGTCCTGTATTTTTTGCTTGTTTTCCCTCCAACTTTCGTCATGTTTGAACAAGGAACAAATGCAAACATCGCCAGATTTACTCAACAGTGGGACTGATGACAAAGGCCCGAATTCGCTTTCTTGTTAGTTCTATGCAGTGATCCTGTCTAGTTTCGTTTTCGGTAAATTAGTAGAATGGCTCCTAGGCAATGCCGCACTGAGCTGTACGAGAAAAATGCTGCGATAATTCAACTTAGAGCCTGCGCCTCTCAAAACACTAATCTTCCAGAAATCGCGATTTGGGACGGTGTTCCCTTATCAAGTGGAGGGTGTAGTGTGATATTTCTGTATTTATTGAACGCTTGGAGTGATGAAACATGCTACTGATTGTACTTGTGCTTGCTCGCCTCCTGTAGGTCGTTATTCGATCCGCGTGCCAAACCTCGGTTTTGCCAATTTCATGATCGGCTTTCTCGCTTGTGATGCATAGATCAGGCAATCTTTGTACACAGACTACACTCAACAATACCAGATAGTTCTCCAATTGTCATCACGAGCGTACATCCAATTTTATGGCTGGGTTTCTTTATTTTATTATCCATCCTGAATAGTTTTATCAGCTTCTCTGGTGTACTCGGTCGCCATATATTGATTTCGTTTAATACACTTTCAAAGTGCACTTTCTAGTGTTGTTAGTTGTCACCCTATCCAATCTCCTAAGTTTTAAGGTTTCCCGAGAAACTCAATAAAAATGGGATGTTTCTAATAGCATTCGGTGTACTATATTTATTTTATCATCCTGATGATTTGTTCCTAAGTCTATCGTATAACAATCAAGATTCATTCCAATATGTTTCCTTTCCATCAGGCTGAACTTTCTGAAGCCTTGGATCAAGTGTCCGTCCGTGAGGCGCAGGTCGAGCAACTAACTGATCGTGTCAACCAGCTCACAGTTGATCTCTCTACACTCAGTATGCAGCGCGAATTATCTGAAGAGACACTGAAGGATGTCCAGGCTACTTTGGCCAACTTTCAGTCGGATGTGGCAACACTTGAGGGGCGAATTCTGTGGTCCCGTATCATTGATGAAAAGGCTAATAGTAACGAACAGTTGTCTCCACAATCGATTGTGAGGATCCAGACGCTAGGGCTAGATCAGTTGCGTACTGTTGGCACTGGACTTGCCGAACCTCTGGATAAATTATGTCGCTTGCTCGTCTGCCGTTTTGAGGATGTATTGCGATTACAGGAGCAGTGTACACAAGCGGCCCTCGATCAGCTGACAGAGTCGCAGAACGCGGTGGAAAGCCTAAAGGGCACTGTCTCTTCGCTGGACAGACAGCTGACCGAGTGTCAGAAACGATTGGAGGAACAAGCCGAACAACATGAACGTTTTCGGGATACACAGCATTCAGTCGTGAGTAATCTGGAAAGGGAGAAGTGTCTGCTTCAAGACCAACTTACTGTAAAAGTTGCATCACTGGAGGAGTTCAGTGAACGAATTCGGTTGCTGGAATCGGAAAAGACACACTTGGAGAGTTTAATGACGGAATTAAAGGTTAGTATGATCGTCGGATTGCATCTTTTTCATTCCTTCCCCGTGGAACTCTACACAGGTTTCGCCCAATACGGTGGAAGCTTTTATGGCAAACACTTCAGGCGAGGTTGCTGTTGTCCCTTTTAAGTTCGTAAACTCACGTAGTTTTTCTGATTGTAACCAGTCGCATGTCCTCCGATCCCAAAAATGTTTGCAACAAGAATGCGGTAAAAGTAACCGTGACTTAATCAGCGCAATCTGAAGAAACAAATGTTTGGTCCGTGCTTGTGAAAAAGTTCATCACCAAGACCTCACAGTTCAACGTTGAAGAACTTGTTTACATATCAGGGATGAAAGGTGTGCTTCCTATATTACCACTCATCGCAAAATATTCAATTTTATTCAGCTTCTTTACTATTTGCCCGTACACACAAAGCCCACGTGGTTCGGCTTTTCAGCTTGGCCTGAAATACCTAGCGAAGTTCCAAATGTGACTTAGTAATTATCACATCCTCCGTTAGGCCCGATGCATATCCTATCAAAAAAAAACTTGTGACACTACCACCAGCTAGACCAAGAATCACACCGAAAATCCATCTCACTGGCTGTGCACACTGGTCCTTAAAGCAACGGTCTGGAACTGCTAAGCAAGGAGTCTCGCTTGCCGACCCTTCTACACCCGCCCGTCCCAATAAGGAAGAAGATGCTGAGCTTGGCAGGATCTGACCACACGTTCACAATGGAACGCCTCATTTACATTAGCTCGGTTTGGAAATTGTTGGCGCTGTCACGGTAGTATCCGATTTCATTTTTCTTTGAACTGTTGGATTGTGCGTTTCCAGGCATTAGCCCTACCTCTTCGTCCACCAACTCTTCATCTGGGACGTGAAAGTACCATCTTCAAAACCTACCTCTACGTCTGCAACAACAGAATACCCCATATCCATGGTTTCTTACCTCGGTTTGGAATTGTTGGCGCTGTCACGGTAGTATCCGATTTCATTTTTCTTTGAACTGTTGGATTGTGCGTTTCCAGGCATTAGCCCTACCTCTTCGTCCACCAACTCTTCATCTGGGACGTGAAAGTACCATCTTCAAAACCTACCTCTACGTCTGCAACAACAGAATACCCCATATCCATGGTTTCTTACCTGCTCCTTTCTATGCCTATTACTTTCAATGCTTCTCACTCCGCCGGTATCAGCTTTTCCAGTGGTATCCGTAAGCAGTTCGAGTTAGTTAGAATTAGTTGTGATGCACCTCCTAACGTCTTTTTATGCAGAGCGGGGAAAGTTTATTGTGATCGTGTTTGTTCCGAAGATGTTCTACTATCGTTGGTTTCTTCACTGAGCTGGGAAATTTGGTTGCCCAATCAACCAACGACCATCTACGTTACCTGGACCAGCAACATTTTCCTCTATAGAAAATGTTCTACCCTAGCATTATCGGTCGTACAGGGTTTGGGCCACGAGTTTTTACTGTTGACTACGACACTTTTCGGCACTCCTAATCAGTGACATGGCCCAAGAACACAGTCTCGGGTTAGCTATCAATTTTAATAAAGGGTTGTCGCCAGCGTCTGTCCAACGACCATACATGACCTCATATATCTTATCTATCTGATGGCGAGTGAAATCATGTTCTTAGCGAAGTATACTCACTTGCAAACAAATTTGGTTTTTCGAGAGACTCATCCGGAACCCAGGTAACTAATTTCGTGCAATCTGGGTTCAAGTAGAACATAAAGTTGTCGGGAACTCGAGGGCTGCGCCTACCTCAGCCTCACCAAGGGCGAAACCAGTCGTGGGCCCTCGAAGAAATTTCAGCAACCTTATGAGTAGTGCGTTACCAAAATCATGTTTCCTTCAGTATACAATTGAAGTTGAATAACTTGACTTGACGAAATATGGGACATTTTTTAATCAGCATGACTCAAAGTTTAAAAGATAAAATAACAAGTTTACCGTATGTAATTCGGTAGGCGGTCGAAGATTCGTGGTTCGAACCCAACCACAGTCTCTCGGCTGCTCCTGTCTAGGCTTAGACAACCCTTCAGCATTTCATCCCTTTTACTTCCCTCGGGTAGTGTGGCAGCTAGGCACCGAAAGGACGTTGTAGTCATCGCTATTTCCCCTGTCTTACCCGGCATTTTTTCCTAGTCCAGCTTATTCGTTTCATCTCCCTGTGTGTGTTGCCAGTCCACATGATCTATGGTCGTCTATGGACGAAATGCCCTTTTGGTGTCATCTTTTTCCGATGGCAACAGTACGACTGTTGACTGCCATACTTGTCTACTGAACAATTTGATTACGTGTCATATTGTCCCATATGTTGACTGCTTGTGATGGCCTTCTTTTCAATGCATATTTGATGATTTTGTAGTAAAATGGCTTGCTCGTAAGACGGCAGCATAGCTATGTTGCTCTCGATCAAGATAATAACAATGAAATGGTTAAACGCAACCGAACTATCATGCAACCATCACTGTTAAACCAACATGTCATACTGCTTTGAATGCACTTGTATTCGCATTATTAGGCTCCCATGAACGAATCCCCCATGCTCATGTTTCCCCCTACACCTCATCTCCCATCCTTATAGCATCAAACCGATTTAGAATTGGTTTCGTCAAAAGATCTGCTTGAAAAGGCAACGCAACGTCTACGCGAACTGGAAATCCAACTTTCTTCCGGTGACAAAACTCGTGTCCAGGTATGCCTCTGCGGGTGATTCGCCAGGCTTATGTCTTATGCTCGTTAGTTATCTCTAGCGTCGACCATCGCGTTCAATTTAGATGCCCCAGTTTTAGCCATATATAATTATTTTTTGAGACTTGCTCAGTTCGTTTTCACCCGATTCAACATTCTCCACCCATTTCGCCCACGCTACGCTTCATCCCCTCACGACTAGATTTCCCATGGTCTTCCGCTCGAATTCTCTCGAGCTGGTCGATTTGTGGACCAAAAGTCGAAGATCGGATGCACTTCAACGCATTTGGTTGACAATTCGTGACATTTCTGTCTCTATGTGCTTTTTTGCGACCGGTAAAATAATGTCTTCATGCACACCACATCAAAATCCGTCTGCTTTGGTCTTTACGAGGCCCGCAAACGTACGTATGTCATGCTTAAGTATTCTTTTCTAGCTCCTTCAGTGCGTTGTCATCATCTGGAGTATGTGGACGGCGATTTTACCCGTACAGCTTTTCCGCAATCAGACGAGCATATGTGAAGCATAGATGCTTGCATGCAGCCTTAGGCTGCGGCTCGAGAAGAGATGTAAGGTAAAATTAACTCAAATAGCTGGTCCGCGGAAATGTACCTAAACTTGCTATGACCTAGTGAAACGGTCGCGAACAATCCAAGTAGCCTATCATCTCCCCACTTTCCGGCTTCTTTAGTTAATGGTTTTAGCTTTGGAACAATCGCTTCAACCATCCACTGTAGTTTACGGTGAAGTAAGTCTGTTGGTCTGAGCCCTGTAAAAACAGTCTGGTGAGACAGTTCTCATGCATAGCATATCGTTAATCCCTGGGCAATTTCACCCTCCAGATACTCCCTGATTCGAGTACTTCAGAGAGGAGTTAAAGGTTGAACGAATTCGACTCTCAATAAGTCAAATAGAAGTTGACTGAAAACGGGTACCGAAGAACCAACGACTTGTCGACGGGATTACTAGAACTCATCTATTTTCACGGCATCTTACTCAACAGTACTTCCATCAGTATGGAGTAGACAAAAGAAAAGTACCTATAAAGCGCTCAATAATCGTGTTCGGTTTTTTCTGGGACCAATAATGCTAGGCCACTGAAGTTCCAGACACATCAATCTGGTTCTCTGGTGTTGAAAGATAGTTAATAAATGACAAGGAAGCTCGATGGTCATATACGGTCAGGTCGCTGAAGCTTGGACGAGAGTAGTCCAGATGCAGAGGTTGGTTTCGAACCACGGGCCTTCCGGTTGATAGGTCCGCAGCTTAACCACTGACATGTATCGAGTTCAGAATGAGTTATATTAGAATGGTTTATGCTTTCAAATGGATACAGCTTAAGTTGATGCCTCAGACGTTTGTCACGATGCGAAGGGTGAATCCCATACATGGAAACAACTATAAAGCCTCAGAACCCGCGATTTCTTGGAGGAAGCCAGTTTATTGCCTCGAACTCAAAGGGGACGATTTGTACGCGGTTTCGTGGAAGTGTGTAACACCGACTTCCCCTGTGCCCCATGTTTGTCATGACACACGGCCCAATAGGGTTCATCAAAATGTGACGTGAAAGCTCGAGAACCGGTTAGACAGCACCACGCCCTAAGGGGTACTTTCTAATTTGTTTCGCGTTTCGTATGCGTGTGAACATGATTGACCATCTACCTCACAGCATTTCCCAAGAAACGCTCTAGAAGATTTGGATGAATTTCGGTGCTGAACTGTACTACTGTGCACAGTCAACTATTTAGGGCTCGGAACAAAGTGAACGTTTTTCATCACTACAAACGCTATTTGCCATAGGTGAAGACACTGTTCGTGCGGAATTAGTACGCTTTTTATTCCGATATAAAGTGTGATAGGGATTCTGAGGCGAGTGACAAACTTGCCTCCCAGGGTGTGCATATTTCCAGAGAAGAAAACAAGTCCATTACGTGCTTATTCGTCACAAAACTGCTATCCTAGTAGTGTCCATATTTTTTGTGAGTTTTATTCATTTGAGCCACTGGGTGACCTTAGAGAGAAAACGATCGTTCGTAAGTGGACTTCATTTTGATAGTGCTGGCCTAACGACAGTTTAGCTCCTAAAACCGCTCCTATCTATTCGAATGGTGTCAATTTTTATTCCCCCATTTGTCGTTTTTTTGCTCAACTTGGGATACCATCAATTTCACTGATCTCAGTATAGTTCCCTAATATCGATTTCTCACACTTTCTCCATGCCCTATACATATTTTCTGCTGTGTCCATTCCATATTAAATGTGATTATAGTTGAACAAGATGTCACAAAATCATTTGAGTTCTGCGGATCCCACCACATTGTTTATTCCCAGTATCCTTAGAGGTAATTAGTGGGAACGGTTGCTTATATTAGGTAGTCCATCTGTTTGGAAGTTCCCTATCATTCTAATCCCTTTGTTTCAAAACCGTTTTGGTCCCAATTTATTTTCTGCATGTTCCTATTCATATAATCGATCATCACACTATTTCCCTTTCGGCTCTTGGTTTTGTCTGTTCTCAATTCCCACCCGCTTATTCGTCTATCGTTCGCTCTAATTTATTATTTTTCAGCACTTAGTTTGTCGCTTGGTCACCCACCGTTACAGCTCCTATTTGTTTATTTTAAATTTACTCTTATACTGGGTGAATTCTAGGTCCTCAGTTCTGTTGTGTTGTCCTCTTTGGAGACCAGCCTCAACACACCCTTGGCATAGTTCTTAGTCTGTCGGAACCAGTTCAGTCATTCTTGTTTTGTGATTGCCTTTTTTCTATTGCTAGTTGGATGCCTGCATCCAGACAAACGCGTCCCTTGCCGAACTACCAATGGTCATAACCGGGTCGCATCTACACGAGTCGCTGGAACACTTGGACATGGATCTACCACCGGTGGCCACAGACGAGGATCTGTCACCCCAGTGTGATGTTTCAAACACTGCCTACGAGGCTTTGGCTGCCGACAGACGTGGATTATCCGACGAGCTGGTTCGTTTGCACAATGCACTGGATGAGGCGAATGAGTACGCACAACAATTGGAACAACAAAATAACGAACTGGTGAGTCAGTCTCTCCTGATTTTAGCAGTCACCTATCCCTCACGAGCCCGTCGAGAACCTTCGGACTAGGTTTTGATCTTTGCAAACTGTAACATGATAGCTAGCATAGTCACAACTAGTGCGCTGTTTATGGATTGATAGGAGCGCAAAATGTGTTTATAGAGACTCTGTTATCCGAAAAAAAAACAAAGGAGTTGGGTTGATTGACCGGGTATCACCTAGATGTTTGGGGACAGGCCACTTGGCGTCACACTACGGACTTGTTATCACGAGGAAAATAATCGTAATCATTTCCATTGGGGAGAAAGCGTTGTCGGCGCGGATGCTTTTTCAAACGAACGATCCTCTGAAACCTAATGGTTGGTTTACTTCCCATTGCACCGTGTATCACCGGCTCAGAATCGATGTCTTAGATCAACCAGTCCACTTTCATATGAAACGATCGTTGCCATTAGCATCACTGTTACGGTATCCTGTCTGCCGCATCAGCAAGTGCTTGTTGATCGAACGTGATTCAACTTGGAAATGTGTTTTTCACATTAGGGTACGTACCAATCAGCAGTCGACTGAACGTGTAACGGTCGCAACGTGGCTCGCAAATAACCAAGCTGGAGAATCGGGGATAAGGCACGCTCGACACGCGACTCTGAGATTATCAGAGGCCCCTCCAGAGGTGACCGTCACTGTAAACACTGGCACAAGCTACTCCCTATGCTGGGTTTGCGATGGTGTTAGAAAAGACTTAATTATCGTCATCGTGCGGGCAACTACAGAACGCCATTGGGTGCATTCTAGGCTAAACTTATTAGTAATACAGCCCCCAGTTTACTGCCATGCGTTAAACCTACGACGCTGTGACCTTCGTTTTATGCACTTTGCGAACCATATGTGTGTGTGCCTAGCCTGCGTCTCGTGTATGGTGCCGGCCGACAGACGACCTTTGTATACACCAGTCCACCGCCGCAAACTGAGGGCGTCGCAAGTGGTTGTCCACGGCGACTCTTTTTTGAATAAATTGAAATTGTTCAGCTGTAGCACCCTTTCGGTGCCTAACTGCCATGCCACTCGAAGGTTGCAAGAGGGCTAGAATACTGCCAAGTCGCTCAAGCCTAGACAGGGGAAGTCGAGAGGCAGAGGTCGGGTTCGAACCACGGACCTAACCACTTGAGCTATCTCGCCTTCCCCCGGAGAGACTCTTGTTTATCATCCAAGCTGAGCGTTGTCGTGCATTGCTATCTCCAGTCTACTTTATATACTTTATGTTATACTATACTGTGTTGTCTATAGTTCTGATTCACTATCTCTTGCATCCTATTTATGTGAATTTCGTATGTCCCTCTGCGAAACACCCGCGCTACCGTTCCGTACCGTTAGGCTTGCAGCATTTTCAGAGGCAACTTTCTGTGACCATCGCTGTACAGACCTAGCTAAATGATGCCCAACACTGACTAGCCGTAATATGTCTACGTGAGTGATGCGGGTCACCAAATTACCCGGCTCAGCGCAAACCGTTACGTGCCATATGAAGGCGTCCAATTGTCTGATCAGTGTTGACCGGTAAAGCCGATTCGGATACCAGCTATTTATTCGTAATGATGTCCTCGAGCGGTACAATTGTATTCCGATTTTCCCCCATGCTTGTAATGCAAGTGGGGACGAGATGGTTCGGTGGTTGGAGTGCGAACCACGCAAAGTCCGTGGTTCGAACCCGACCTCTGGCTCTCGACTTATCCTGTCTAGTCTTGGGCGACCTGGTAGTGTCCTGGCCCTAACGCTTCTTTCGGCAGCTGGACACTGAAAGAATGCTACAGCTGAACGATTTTTCAAACTTTTTTGCAATACAAGACGGTGTTTCCAACTGCTGTATGGTTATTTTCTGTGCTCCAACTAATCAAGGTTTGGCAGAGGTCGGTTCGAACCCCGGACCTAACCACTTGAGCTATCTCGCCTTCCCCCGGAGAGACTCTTGTTTATCATCCAAGCTGAGCGTTGTCGTGCATTGCTATCTCCAGTCTACTTTATATACTTTATGTTATACTATACTGTGTTGTCTATAGTTCTGATTCACTATCTCTTGCATCCTATTTATGTGAATTTCGTATGTCCCTCTGCGAAACACCCGCGCTACCGTTCCGTACCGTTAGGCTTGCAGCATTTTCAGAGGCAACTTTCTGTGACCATCGCTGTACAGACCTAGCTAAATGATGCCCAACACTGACTAGCCGTAATATGTCTACGTGAGTGATGCGGGTCACCAAATTACCCGGCTCAGCGCAAACCGTTACGTGCCATATGAAGGCGTCCAATTGTCTGATCAGTGTTGACCGGTAAAGCCGATTCGGATACCAGCTATTTATTCGTAATGATGTCCTCGAGCGGTACAATTGTATTCCGATTTTCCCCCATGCTTGTAATGCAAGTGGGGACGAGATGGTTCGGTGGTTGGAGTGCGAACCACGCAAAGTCCGTGGTTCGAACCCGACCTCTGGCTCTCGACTTATCCTGTCTAGTCTTGGGCGACCTGGTAGTGTCCTGGCCCTAACGCTTCTTTCGGCAGCTGGACACTGAAAGAATGCTACAGCTGAACGATTTTTCAAACTTTTTTGCAATACAAGACGGTGTTTCCAACTGCTGTATGGTTATTTTCTGTGCTCCAACTAATCAAGGTTTATAACTTCCCGAGGCTCCGTATCGTGTCCATTTAGCAGGCTAGAGATCTCCTGATGTGGAGTTGTGACCCACACACAATGCGCAGCCTGAGAACTTTTTATTTGTCGAAAGCAGAACTAGCTGAGTGTTAATAAATTCCACCTAGGTGATGTTTGTGCTTTCGCTAGGTGCTCTGTGGATTTGCTGCCTTTCTTCTGACTAGTGGTTTAACCTACTACTGGCTAAGCTTTGTTGAGTTACCGCTTTGAACTCCCATTATTTCCTCCCTCATTCATAACTATTTACCGGTCTAACTCCTCAATTTTTATGATCCCACTTTTTTTCACTCAGACCGGTTTGGCATCAGCTTGTTTATCAAGAGTATGGTTTAGGAACTGGCGGTCCCTTGATATTGCCACGTGGGTATTAATTCTGTTTCCAGTTCTCTTCTATTTTATCGGTATCTCCATAGCATTCGTCTTATGTGGCAGCCATGTCGGATTGGTTGCGTTTCTCGGGAAATTTCAATGATCCATGTTGCGTTGGTGCTGCACTGTCGGCCCCCTTCTTCTTTTCCTTCTTCACTTTTCCGATTTCACCCAATTCACCTCGTTTTGTGGAGAACCACGTTCAACAATAAGTCTGTCTTGGGCTCATCTTGGAATTAGTGAATAACGGAAGTTAAAAACAATATCTGTCCTCTCTACAACTATCATGTCGCTTGATGGTAACGTTATCTGTTTGTGTAACGTCAATCGTTTTAATGACGTAGGATGTGTAAGGTCCCAAAACAGTTGGAGTTTTTTGACATCTTCACAGTTTTAGCAGCCTAGCCAAATTGATTTTTATCAAGTGATTTACCATATATACCGTGCACGATCAAAGCCGTGAACATTGCATCAGCATGTGGTTGCACCGTTCCAGACATTTGCATAGGATCTGTTGACTTTCCTCAGTTATTCATTTTCACACACATACACTTTCACGTTTATCAGCTGTTTTGCTGGTGTGAATCAGCTGATGGATAATGACGTGGCAGCTTAGATCTCGCGAGCATAATGCTGCCATTCTGGCTTTCTCAACACTAGCTGAGTCTCGCATCCGACGATTGATTGCCCGCGCAATTGTGGTTCCTATCTCATCGCATGTCGCTTATCTCTGTATGTTTCTCCAAATTGTACGTTTGCGGAATCGAATGCATTACTATCCCCACACACTTTCCAGTAGATTTTGTATTCCCAGCGTCCCTAGAGTAAATGTCCTCTTTTCACCGCTTAACTTGCAACAATACGGTCGCCATAGTTACTTTGGGTTGCTCTAGTCCTGCTTTTGAATCATCTGCTACTGCAATGTATCCAAAATGGGCGTATTTCTGTGGTAAAGTTAACGATATTATTTTTCATTCAGCAATGAGTTTCTCCTTCCTTCACACGTACACAGATGGAGAGACTGGAATCGACCGAAACTGCTCTGCAACAACAGACTACATTGTTTACCCATGCTCAAGAAAACTGGGCCGTGACAGAGGGCCAGCTTCGCAATGTGCGTGCCAAGCATTCGGCCGAACTAGACTCTCTGCGCGGAGAATTGGTCCCGCAAATCAACCAACTCCGCGCCAGCGCCGCCACGGTTGCTAACCAAATGAGGGTTGTTCAAGCGGACAATGAGGACCTACAAGTTAGTGCTTCAGAAATGGAATCATATCCCGCACATCTTTGGTGTTGTGTGTGCTACTGTACAGTGAGGTTTTCCTGCGGGTACAACATCCTATTTCATCCGGTATTCTCAGATCTGCTAGGCTTGTCCTCACCTGACATCTGACATCCCTGGCTTCGACATTGCAAAAAATCGTTCAGCTGTAACACCCTTTCGTGCCTAGCTGCCGTGGCACTCGAAGGAACCACGAGGGCTGAGATACTGTCAGGTTGCCCAAGCCCAGACGGGAAGTTGAGAGGCGGAGGTCGGGTTCGAACCACGAACCTTCCGGTCAGTAAATTCACACTCTTACCGCTGAGCCATCTCACCCCGAAATTCTGTAAACTTATCGCTGATATTAAAACCCAGAGTAACCACACGTAAGGTCCACTCGTTTTGAAGGTGCCTTCCGTCATTTTAGTGTTGTGTCTGTGTTCCCATAACCAACGTCCGATTAAAGCCATTCTTTTGCTCCAAATCTGTTATGAAACGTCGGGTAGCACTGTACAGCCGTTTCGTATTAGGAATTATCGGAGCTGCATGACCCACGAACCTGTAGGGTTGCCATGACGTCTCTGGACCTTATCGCTGTGGTGGCTTGTGCATCTCATCACCCCACTAGTCTGTCCTGGAGACTGTCCCTGCAACGTTTCGAGAGCTTCTTTTGCTTTTGGCACCTCGAGTTGGAGGTTGAACTAAGTTACTTAGCTTTTCCCTAAAATTTAGGCTACTCTGACAGTTTTACGACAACCGCTGCAGCCCGGCTTTTGTGTCAGAGGCTTTATTTAGCCGTCTTCCTGCATGGCGTCAGTCTCCCTGGCAGTATCCCACATGTGCATCAGCCTGAACTGCATAAATGCTAATAAGTTAATGCCACTCGACCGTCGCGCGTTGTGATCAGTCAAGCCCCCCAAATCACCACATGCGACGGGGGGGTTGGTGGCGGACAAGAGTAAGCCACTGCGGACACCTACCTGAGCATTCGAAAGAGTTAACTCATGAAAGGAGTGGAAGCGATAGAATCGATGTGATGGGCGCGTTTACGTTGCCGGTCTTGTGGTTCGTTAGAAAGGCCTTCAGGACGGTGCTATTTGGTGAACCAACCATGGATTCTCGAAGTACGACAGTCAAGCATCGGTTTTGAGCACTGATGTCATGCTATCGATTATGATGATTTTCCGATCAGTAGAGCGGAGTCGTCCATCATCTTATTGCTAAGAATACTTACTCTCCCCATAGACCCAACTAGTACTTCTGGTGGCCATGTGTGCAATGGAACCTAGTCACCACCGTTTTGTGGTTTGGGTGCATTGGGCAGCTCAGTTTTCCGATTATGGATGAGGGCTAACAGTGCTTTACCATTCATTACACTGGGGGAAATTGGTAACTAACTCGGATCCTTTGTCCGAATATTGTGCCACCGGTACCAACATACGACTGTGCACGATGCGTCGTCTAAAAACTGAAATCAAGACCCCTTCTTCTCTTGTTGGCAGTTTTTCTCCATTGTTTCATGCTATTTTATCAAACGTTATTCAAAAATTTTCGGAAGACAGATCGTCAATCTTGCCGTTGCTACCTGTTAGGTAGCTGGACGCCTTTACAAATACACACTGGTACATTTTGCTCTTTATCCTTCCTGGAGATCGGGATCCACTGATATTCACGCTCTTAGCAGCTTCTTTCAGTTGTACAGAGGTTTAAGAGGTACAGAAGTACTGCAATTCTTTCGTACTGAGCTGATACGGCCTTTTCCTGCATCTGCCAAAGAATCGATCTTTTATTCCCTCGAATACCAACAACTTGGCAACGAAACAACCAGTCAGCTCAGTCGGGTTGCTGGCTGCCCTCTGCTCCGATGGTGATCTCGGGACGAAAAAGCGGCAAACGACCTTGCTAGCAATGGCAATATCATACGGGCTCTCGTTTTCTTACTCTCGAATGAAGCTATAGCCGGCAGGCTAGTGTAAATTGCGAAGTGTTTCCTTGCAGATCAGATTACCTCTGATCTGGTTGTAACATAGAGCTCGAGATAGCTCAGTGGTTAAGACGTGAACGTAATGGTCAGATGGTCCATAGTTTGATTCCAATCCCAGTACTCCGACTGCTTACATCTGGGCTCGGGCAACCTGACGGCATCTCAGCCCTCGTGTCTCTTTCGGATGGTGGGGAAGCTGGGTACCAAAGGATGTCAGAGCTGGACGGTTATTTATTGTTATTAATTATAGTATAGATGGTAGATCGACTTTATTTAGAGGATGCAGTATGTGTTGAACTGTTGAGACCCCATGCTATCACCAAACTAAAGGTCGAACAAGTGTTGGATTCAGCTGGTTCGCTACCTTAATCAATGTTCACAACTTACTCCCTCTCGGGGTTTTTCGGCAGCGGGACAGTATAGAGTGGAGCAGCAACCAATCAACACTCTGGTGAACTGGGAAATCTAGGATGCGACGATGGCCGACTTGGCAGTTTCGTTGTTCAATGCTATCAATAAATAGTTGTCCTGTTCGGTCCATCAAACTTTTGTATATCGACTTCCAGCAGGATTATACCTACACTAAACGTGGTTGCTGCTTTGTCGCATTCGAAATTTTTGTCGTGTAGTTAACACATCGAAATGTCAACATTCACTTTGATCCCGTCAATCACCGATATGTTGTTGCACAGCCGAAGCCTAAGTTTATGGGAAAAAGGGACCCCGAGGCCGGTTACTTTTGTCAGCTCATATTCTCTGTGCACACAACACTGATTGCTTCATTCCGCTCAGCCTTCCGGTGTTGCTTGATTAAGATGGGGCCAATTGGGTGACCTGTGGTCAGCAGAAACCAAGTTGTATCACGTGCGACCGATGGATAAATAGGTATTCGTTGTCTGTTTGCCTGCATCAGATAGTTCGGCAATCGTTTAAGAGAGCCGTCCGCACGCGTGCCACTGCAACTAAAGATGACAGTGTAGATGAGTGGGGGAATGTGGCATGAGCGACCAAATTGATTCGAACAGTCATCGACACGCATCAGGACAAGCGCGATCGTGAGCAGGTTTCTACATTATGTTGCCAAATGTACGCATACTTTTGAAGGGCGGTTGTAAGAAGTCATCCCATTAAGAACGCTGGAGTCCTAATTTATCTTGCATTTAGTAATGCTGTCAGTCCAACTTGGCTGACGATCGACGTTGTCGTGTTTGACGGTTTCTCGTGCGTATTTTCTGTTTTTGAGCCACACAATTCCGCTCATTCGTCCCGTAATATCACCCGTTAGTTAATCCGTGGCAAAAACAATAAACAACGGGGCGTAAGCATTCCATTTAGTTACATCCACATCTCTCACGTCCTCGAGCGATACGATTCTCGGCTAAGATGAGCTTTTGGCGTCATTTCAATGTGTAGCATCAACAGCTGATTGGATGCTTTAACTTACTTTCCAATTCTCAGTCCCTCATCCTTCACCCATATGTTCTGCTCCAAAGTATATGGCCTACTTCATCATCCCGCCGTTGTTGCTTTCAGCTCCTCTTTCTTCACCCCGCTCTCTGTCTTCGTTGCTTTAGCGCCGCTTGTCTACAACATCTTCAGAACTAGAAAAGATGGTGGCTGAACGAAATCGCTTAGCCGAGCGTAATGCGGACCTTCAGCGTGAATTAGTTACCACCCGGAACCTAGTGGAAACAATGGCCCGTAACCAACACCAAAGCCTATCCGCTGATCGTTCGCTGCATGGTCGAACTGGGGATGCTTCTGTTTCTGCTGTGGCGGCGCACCATAGCCCCCACTCTCACATCAATGGGTCGGTTGAAGAATGGGTGGAAGCAGCCCGAATAGAGAGTGCCCGGAAACAGCGGTACACAAACGGGATTTATACAGAATCGGTTGTCCCCTGTTCTCGCTATCCTCCGCAGCACTCCGATTCCTCCGAGTGTTTGTCATCCAGTTCACCGGATAGGCGTGCATCTATGCCAAATGGTCATAAGTGTAAATCTTCAATGCGAAAATCAGTACGATCCTCGAAAAACCGTCATTCTTATCACCTTTGCGAAGAGCTTGCCCGACTGACCAACCGAACTGCCATGCTGGAGTCCGTCGCACTCGCCTTGACACAGCAGCGCGAGCAAGTGAGTTATCGATCTGGTCCTGTTTCTCTGTCTTCTGAGCAGATCAATGAAATTCTACGTTATCGCTTTTTATTATCAACAGAGCGAATGTTGTATCATTTGCTTGTTTTTTTTTCGTACAAACCGCAAAGTGATCACATAATACAACACTGAAGCGTCTCATCGTTTTTACGTTCAACGGCTCGAAATTTCGTGTTTGCGCAACCAGTAAATGCTTCCCCCTGAACAGACGTCTTGTTCCTTAACTTCAAGCTCCATCTGCACTTGAGCGACACGGCCGCTCCCATGAAATTGCAGATTGACCGTCACCGCGGGGCGATGCACTAGGTCACTGCTGGTTAGGAAGTGGGTTGAATTGGACTATTCAGAATTAGAAGGGCTGGAGGAATTTCTTGAAATAGACTAGTTTGTCGAATTCGGGCCCTGAGACCAGTGGATTTGTCACCAGAGAACTTCTTAGCTGGGCCTCAATATATAGTGGCTTTCCATATCAGCTTTCCTGTAATCTTACCCTGTTTCATCTTTATCGTCCTCTATGCATCTGATTCATGGTTATCCTTCATCACTTCCAGTTCGTTTATGGCAACGTCTTCAACGTAGTTTGTTATTCCCACCAATGTATTCTTTCACTCAGGTGCGTCCGGTCTGCCTTGCGAAACTTGCGATTTTTACACTCGCTTTGAAAATTCTTTTCAACCAATCTAGATTCAGTATAGGACTCTTAGTCGATAGATTTATGCCGTGTGGTTTATACGTACCAATCCACCCCCTAACCATATATGTGATGGCTATGCCTGTGATGCCTGGTTGGTGTTACCCCATGGCACACGTTCAGTTCGTGGTCAAGTCGCCTTAGGGTGCATGTTTGCTTGTCTTTCAACTGGTTTTTTTGTGTACCAGCCTTAATGTACTATATATGCAAGTTTATCTTACCTGGTGACCACACATTCAAGATATCGGTCACCATAGTTTCCGTGAGTTTACCCTGGGCGGCGTTGAGAAGTAGAACACTTTCTCAGTCACTGCTGCGGTTGATTCACAGCTACAACGTCGTAGAACTTGACTCAATTGAGCAGTTGCCTTAGTCGCACATTTATACCGCAGTTACGTGGCACCCCTATACGCACTCGCAGTATTGTTAGCGCTGGTGGAATATATATTTTGGCTTGAATACAACAGTATTCGGATTTCGTGAAAAGTTGCTAAATTCGTACTGTGACCGTACACTACCCGATCGGGGTTGTCGCACACTAATCATTTCCCCTGCACTGCACACTATTTCCCTTGGGTTGCAAATTTGAAAAGGAACCATTGGATCTGCCCTACCTGGTAGGACGCATGCCACCGATATTCGATATTTTTACCAATGCGTGGATAATTCAAATACCACAATATCGTTGAACCGTGCCAGTGGTCGGTTACCACAGCCAGATAATTCAGTAGGAACTGTTTTCCATTCGTAGATAGATATATATAGATAACTTGTAGGTCTTCCCATATCTGTTCCACCGTGAAAGCTCTTCTCTATGGGTCCAGCATTCGACTCGAATGTTTTTTTCGTCAGTCATCATGTAGCTTCTAGATGATGCTATTAATACCACTGTCCTCTGAGAAAGTATAATTCAGTTTCAGAAATGCCTCCGATACCCGCTGCTCAGGTGGGGTCATTGGCTACCAGATCTGCACAGTGTCAGCTCTAGTAACGGACTCCATGTACAATAGGGAACCGAGTTAATCCATGTCGCTGTTGACCCTACTGAGCCACTTTTGCAGTTGTCCTCCGACACGATACTACTTTGCCGTGCGACTGAATCCGTGAAAACTGAGTCCCATCATCTCTGCGTGATCAGTACTTGAGACTTCTTAACAGAACATACTCTGGGCACAGTTCAAATGACTAAATCAAAATGATGACCTAATGTTTGGTGCGATCTGACAATGGCTCAATGGTTAGAGCGTGAATTTGCTGACCGGAAGGTCCGTGGTTCGAACCTGCCTCCCGACTTCCCCTGTCTAGGCTTGGACAACCTGGCAGTATCCCAGACCTCGTGCTTCCTTCTGATGGCATGGCAGCTGGGCACTGAAAAGGTTCTACTTCTGAACGAGAAATGCGAACCATAGTAACTCTGGTTTGGAAAAAGACACGTCAGTGGGTGGAACCGACCCGCAGCTCTCCCGCTTACCATTCCGAAGTATATTTTTCGTTCACGCCACATTTCAAGATGATCTAAAACATTGTTTTACTGTTGACTTTACCGCGTAGTATATAGAATTCCGTTGTATGCTTAACCGTCCTGTTAGACACGTTACTGGTTTGACCATTCTTGGCCTCTTGGACAAGAGAACTCAAATTAGCTGACAGAATGCCGGTCGTTTTAGCCAGCTTCAATGTCGGTGGTTGTAATGCATAGAAAGTGCGATAAAATCATTCGTGGGTCCACGGTGACCCATGAATCCGGACTTCTTTCTGGTTTCCCAACCCAGTCACAGCTCCTTTCTGCTCCCGGACTCCTTTGTTCCCCTTTTGATCAGGCGTTTTCCGATGAAGACTCTTGTGTACATCTGTCCTTGGATGAGTCTCTTCGGCGCTTCGTGAGTGGCTAGGTTGGCATGCGCCTATTTCGTTGGTGGTCATATGACATTTGTTTATACTCCAGCATCTTCTGCTACCATCGTTGTTGCATGTTGCTCTCTACTACACGCCTTAGTTTCCAGTCTCATTTAAGACTCATGCTTGCTCGTGTCCGAGGAATTGTTCGAAGTTGGGGTCATCCCGAATAATTTTGAATGTGTCATCGCTGTTCCACTTTTATAGCTGGCAGCCCAACAGAAAGCGGAACAGATGAACGGGCAACGCTCCTCTGTTCCTGTGGCGTCTTCGACCTTGTGTTCAACGCAACAAAAACCCATACCACATTCAATGAGTGGTGGTGTTTGCCCGACTGCCCTGTCGGAGAGTGGCCCAAATCCTGCCTCTGCACCAGTCGGCTATCCAGATTCGCACAACTCTACAAGTAAACATGAACTGGACACTGATGCTGATTCATCCGCCTTCACCGATCTTAGCAAGGTTTCTCCGGTTTCCAGGAACGATCATGTTGGCATAGTCACATCCACTCTACCTCACTCCTCTCCAGTTTCAGCTAATTTGTCCAGACTTTCTAGTACACAAGGTGAGCAACTTTTATCCTGAATGACAAATGAACAAACCAATGATTGAATGAATGAGTGAGTGGTGTGAAAAGGTGGATATCAGCCTACTTCGCGGTTTACATGCGCAATCTGTCAATGATGGATGGACAGTACCACTGAGTGGATAAATTACCTAAAAGCCTCTGGCGATAATTGTTTCGATTCTCGGGCATAGACACTCCATTTGTCTATCGCACAGATAAGCAGACCTATTATTAAGTTTCGTCATTTCGAATTCAGTTGGTTTGGCACACACGAGTCGCACGTTTGTTCAGTTTTACTATTCTATGCGTACCCTACGTCTCCATCCCAAGCGTATGTGGTTTTTGGCAACTCCCGGGTTTCGTAATATTAATTGGAATACACTTATGGCAACTTTCATTCGTTGACAAACAAACTTACCAAACTCCACACGTGCAGAATCTCACAGTTATAACTAGCGTTAATTCGCAAGCGGTGTGCGTCTCATGGATTTATCGCTTTCGGAAGCTTATCGACGTCGCTCGCCTGCGATCCAGGGTCCTCCATAAGAGAGTTGTGTTTGTTTTCCAGGCAGTATTGCAAAGACGGTATATTGCCCCTCTCTTCGGGCGGGAAGTACTTTCGGGGTAGCTGAGACGTTTCCCTGTGGTAACTCAAACTGTCCAGTAAATCGACTAAGGATGCCAATCAACGCCAGCAGTTTTTTTGTGTCAGTGTAGTTTAAGCCAGCCATTACTGAGTACAAGTTTGTCCCACGTGGCTGATCAGACACTGATTGCCAACTTATTGCTGTGGATTGAAGCCCTGCTGAAGTTTCCCAAGATGCGCTCTCTTGCTGTAGAACAACAGGGATGTAACAGCTCTGGGTTTCATCAACTGGATGCTCCTCAGTACTTGCGAAACCTAACTAATGTTCTCAGGAACAGAAGGGTCCCATCCGGCTTTAGTTTTCCAGGTTTTCAGGTGCTCTCTGCTTTTGTTGTCTGATAAGGGTGTGACAGCCTTGCACGCTTGTCGAATATTCGCAATGTTGCTGTGGACTGTATTGGTTGGAACTCAGTTCTTAAAGGCTTCACCGTATCTCAGATGCCTTTTGCTAAACGTGCGTCTATTAGATGGGGATCAGTAAGCTGGCGATGTGGTAGAGTACATGATTCAGTAAATGAAAAATCTGACCAAGTGGCAGTGCAATATATCATGATGGTTCACCCGCAGAACGTATGTGTCCTTCAAACTGGTTTGTGACGGCAGGCGTCACACCGTTCAGTAATGTCATTGGCAGCCACAACAGATGAGAACACTTCTGCTTCACTGTCGTGCAACTATGTCTAGCCTACCACAAACACCCGAAGTGCCTACACCACTAGCGCTCAGCCAGACAATTTGGCTAGAAACTGACAGCATAAATGCCACTGACATCGGTTAGCCCCCATATAGTTCAGTGTCTTCAGCCAAGCATAAAAAGAGACACGTGAACTCCATCATCGATAGCACCCAAGCTTTTCGTAACATCCTTCATTCTCGTTCTCAGAGAAATTCGGTAACAATCGGTAGATTTATTGCTAGGCAACGTTTCGCTTTTGACACAAAAGCTTCGTCAGACCAAGTGACCAGGTTACGAGGTTGGTCGAGGTTTGAGGTGGAAGGATAACCAATCAGTTAAGTCGAGCCAAATCTGTGTTCGGTATCGACCAAGG